ATCCTCTAAACTACAAAATATGCAAGAAACCTCCTAAACTATGCAAAAAAGTTACAAATCACCCTATTCGACCAAGGTCCAGTGAGAATTAGCCGTTAAAAATTGTTGAATCATTTTAAAGGACCATACTGCCCTTAGAAGCATGAAAGGACAAGAATGCCCTTAATTTCCATGGAGCCCAATAGTCACCCAGTTGCATTATAAACGCAACATACCCAAACATGCCATATACGCGCACGCACACACACACATATATATATTTATAAACATTGTTCATCATCTTCATAGGCGTGCATACCTAAACACACCCTATACGCGCCTACACACACAGGTAAAGTGCAATAAACGCCCTTGAATTTTACTCTTTCTTCCAAAAAAAACCCCTGCACTATTATTTTTACAAAAAACCCTTTGAACTAGCCCTTTTTTTGCAAAAAAAAAAAAAAACCAAGTGACACGTTCCGGTTGGTTTTGCTCCTAAAATTGGCAAGTGACTAATGCTATAATTTTAAAATGGTAATTTTACCCTTTCATTATTATAATATATATTAATAAAAAGCCCTAAATTGAATCCCCAATTTGTTAACCCTAACACCTATTAGCTTCATTCCCTACCGAATCTCCATCTCTATGGAGGTCTATGCAAATCGTTCAACTGATCATGGATACATCTATACATATATATGTGTACATTGTATATGTCATATGGGCATAAAGTTAAAAACTCGTAAATTTATTGCTCAACAATATATTATCTGGATGGAAGATGATAGATGTATACACACACAGTATATTCAAATCCAATTTCCTCTAAGGCTTTCCACAGTTCGCTTAACTTCTTTCAAGCATTCTTTTACTCATTTTTAAAAATAAGAATGGTTGAATCGTTAGTCACTGGAGAAAGAAACTAAAAAAAATTAGGCTACCAAGAGCACAATCGACTCCCATTAAAACCGATGAGAGCCCAACCTTAAAACCCCATCCACAGGTGAGAAGCTCTAAACATCACGACCTAATTGCAGCGACCAAACCAGTGAGGTCACATTCTGGTGAACCTCAAACAGATACAACAAACCAAATCTTTCTGGCAAGCATCATACAGACCCAGATAACTAAATCGTGAGCATCTTTGAAAACCCAAACCTTGAACTTCATTGAAGACCAAGGCGGTCGACGAAGTCGGCTACCGGAGGTTACGATTGATCGGCAATCTCATCAACTGTCGAAGAACGAAAGCTCAAGAGGAAGAAAGAACGCTCTGTACAGTACTGTAAGGTGGTGTTTGGCGTAGTATTAGGTGGTTATTGTGATAAGCTGATGTGTTGTGCAATGTTTTGGCTGGTAGAGTTTGTGATCAAGGCAATCTCGTCGGCTGCTGGAGAAAGATAGTGTAAGAGAGAGAAATGGCGCTCTGTGGTGGTAGTGTTTGGCTTATGTAATGTAATGTAATGTTTAGTACATTAAGTGGTGTTTATCAAGTAGTATTAAGTGGTTATTGTGATAAGCTGGTGGTATTGTCGCAATGTTATTGGATGTTTAGATTGCATTTAACACTTCATCAAAAGCATCTGCTAAAACATTAAAATGACATCATTTTATTTAAGGGCAATTCTGTAATCTAACATTTTTGGTGAGCTTCCCTGACGGCAACTTTTAGTTTTGTCCTTAAATTGCACTTTTTAAATAGTTCTAGGGGGTTTAGTGTTTTTAACTGATAGTTCAAGTGTGTTTATTGCCTTTTACCCTATATATATATTTACAGATCATTATTCATCATCTTCAGAAACGTGCATACCCAAACAGGCCCTATACATATATATGTATTTACATATCACTGTTCATCGTCTTCACAAGCGTGCAAAAATAATTCTGATAATTCTCACACCGCTCAACAGTTGTGTTCATGGATCGAATTTCACCGAGCTCTTGCAAAATCTTCGACACCAAAAGCCGTTTAACCCAATCCATACACTACTACCACCATCATTGCCGAAGTAATTAGACCACAAATTTTTAGAAATTCAAATAATTCATACTGAACTAGCACTGCCATTGCCATCACCGCCGCAAGAACGTTAACAATTTAGTCATAAACGTTTCTCAAACAGTTTCCAAATTGAATCCTACAAACCCACCGTCATAAACCAATTCAAATAATTCGTACTGAAACACCTCAGCCACTACCATCACCCCTCCATAACATGAAGGAATCAAGCCACAAATTTCTCTTAAACAATTACCCAATCGAATCTTACAAACCTAAGCCCAACCAATTGAACCACATATTTTTGGAAACTCAAAAAATTCATATTGCACTACCTAAGCCACTGCCATCACCACCACCATAACGTCACCCAATTAGCCTCAAAGTTCTCTCAAACCCAATCGAACCCTACAAACCCACCGTCACCACCATCATTGCTGATTCACCGAACGACAACTCTGGCAATAACTAGATCCTCATTGAGGTCCTCCTTACTGTTGACTGCCACAAAATTAGGTTTTGCCGCTGCATCATCATCGTCTTCCTTCTTCTCTTCTGGTGGTAACTAGATCTTCGCCGGCATCATCATGACAGGTACTCCACCTTCCTTCACGAGTCAGCAACTTTCAAGTTCGGCGGCTCACCGGAGTTCAAATCATTCACCGCCCATTCATCCACCACCATCGCCACTTCCACTCTAGGAGGTCTACAATGGCTTCCTTTTCTGCTCTGTGTGTGGGGCGTGAATAAAGGAAGGTGGTTTAGGGGGTTTATGTGGTAATGAAGATGTAAGTGTGTGGACGTGGTTCAACCACGTCACCAAAGGTCAAGTCAAATAGTCAACAGCTTGACAAGATCCACCTCAGCAAGTTGAGCAGTAGTCGACCATTGGGCCTCAATCTTTGAACCAAACATTTGGTCGATGGATCCTGGGCCTTAAACCACGAGCCATCTCCACAGTCAATTAACGGGCCTTAAACCTCGATCCGACCCCATCACAATTCGTCGATCGACGGGCCTTGAATCTCAATCCGACCCCATCACAATTCGTCGATCGACGGGCCTTGAACCTCGATCCGACCCGATCACAATTAGTCAATTGACGGGCCTTGAACCTCTATCCAACCCTATCATAGTTGGTCCATCGACGGGCCTTGAACCTCAATCCGACCCCAGCACATTTAGTCGATTCGACGGGCTTTGAACCTCAATCTGACCCCATCACAGTTGGTCGATCGACAGGCCTTGAACCTCGATCCGACCCCATCACATTTTGTCGATCGACGGGCTTTGAACCTTAATCCGACCCCATCACAATTGGTCGATCGACGGGCCTTGAACCTCGATCCGACCCCATCACAATTTGTCGATCGACTGGCCTTGAACCTCGATCCGACCCCATTACAATTTGTCAATCGACGGGCCTTGAACCTTGATCCGACCCCATCATAATTCATCGATCGACGGGCCTTGAACCTTAATCCGACCCGATCATAATTCGTCGATCGACGGGCCTTGAACCTCGATCCGACCCCATCATAACTTGTCAATCGACGGGCCTTGAACCTCGATCCGACCTCTTCATAGCTTGTTGGGTAACGGGCCTTGGGCCTCTGATTGTCACAGTTCGACGACCGACATATCCTGAGCCTCGAATCAATGTAGCAGCAAATCATCAATTGATGGGCTTTGAGCCTTTATTCAAACAACAACGAGCTATGTTAGGGCTCTTCGAGTGACACTGGGATGTAGAAGGGATTTTGGAATGGAGGATGGAAAATTAGTAATGTCTTGCCCACTAAAGCAAGACCCAGTTTGAGGATAAGAGGAAAGGACAGCTGGAATAGTACAATCACCTTTACTGCCTGTCATTCTTGGATTATTCAATAGGAAAGGTACACTTGGCAGCTGATCCAAAAATATAGGGATTAGGGCAACATGACCCAAAGAGGCATAATTCTAACCTACTCTAAAGATGGAAGCCCAATAATGTACCACCTGAATGACCTAGGGCTATAAAAGGAGGCAGTAACAAAAAGAAGCGGGTAAGAACTGACGGCAGCTCCTTCCTTACCATTGTTCAAGATTCTCTCTCTGGACTGGTTTTCTCTCCCTTCTTCCTACCCTTCTGCATTCTTCATATTGCTGAGTGGTATATTCCCAGACCTTCTTGACTCTTCCAGGACCCACGCAGAACCAGGTATCTACATTTGGTGACTTCACTGGGGATTATCCTAGCAAGACAATGAATCGAGATGAGGTTCCTCCTCTGGCATAGGCAGAGGTGTCTGCTGTTGGCGCCACCAGTGTTAAGGCTGTCAGTGCCAAAGCTACCAGCGCAAGAGACACCAGCACTAGGGCCACCAGCACCAGGTCTCATTCCTCAAGATCCAAACACAGGTCCAACACTGATGCTATTCTGGAGGCTATGCAGGCAATGAACAACCAACTGATGACCCAGATGGAAAGGTTTGAAGAGGCCCTTAACATTCTTGATAGGAGGGTTTCGATGACACCAAGCACGGTTCAAACGGAGGTCCCTTCAGCGACTCAGGTAGCATTCACTACTACCGTTCCAGTTAACATGACTCTACCTCCACAGAGTGAGCAACAGATTATGAGGACACCAAGGGGCCAAGATCGTAGTGCTAACCTGCTATCACAGCCCACTCCAGAGTCCTACAACCCTGCATTACAGGTAACCCCTGAGGCCCCTCGTGCTTTCCTATCTCGAGGAAAAGAACCCATGTTCTGTTCCCCGCCTACCTATGCTCAGGCAAACCCTAAAGCACATCGTCCTCTCCCTTCTTACTCCTACTCTGCCCCAAAAGAAATATTCACACACTCTAAATTACGTGATCTCTTCAAGAAGGGCACGCCAACCTCTCGCGCCTTGGACTTTGGTAGCTAGCCTCCTTACCCTCTCGCTATTGCACAGACCCCATACTCGCAGGGATATTTGGTCCCAAAATTCCCACAATTCAATGGCAAAACTAGCGATCCTAGAGAGCATGTCATGCGCTTTGTTGAGGCTTTGGGTCATTTTGGTGATAATCATGTGGTTCGCCTACGCGAATTCTCCAAGTCCCTAACTAATCGGGCATACCGTTGGTATTTCAACCTCGAGCCAGACTCCATCAGTACTTGGGAGCAGCTGAAAGATCATTTTCTTACCAAGTTTTTCCAGGCTGAAGAGCGTGTCACCACCTTGTCCCTCACAAAAGAGGCCCAAGAAGACAATGAAGATGTCCTTGCCTTTATCAACCGATTCAGTGATCGTGCAGGTCAGTGCTTCGAAAGTAGCAATGAAATAGACTTGGTTGATATTTGTATCCAGGGCATGCTGCAGGTCTATAAGCTCTATCTTGTTAACCTAAGAATTGCTAGCTTGGCGAGCTTAAGATCGCTGCCCAGAATCTCAAAGATCTCAAGCCAGTCGCTACTAAGTATAAGCCTCCGAAGTATGATGCTCCTAAGTTTGAAGTTCCAAAGCCTTCTAATCGCAAACCTGCACCTGCAGTGACCATCGAGGAATGCCCACAAAAACGGTTTGATAGGTCCCAATCTAAGCCACAAGGCGACGAGCCACCACCTTTCCCCATTCGCATCGAGGAGGTCAAGAATACACTCGCCCAATCAGTCAAGGATGGCGTTGTCGTTCTACCCACTCCACGTCGCGATCCCACCCCAACTGATAGAGCTAATGCTGATTTCTGTGTTTACCATCAAAGTGTTACTCATCCCACTATTAATTGCCGGGGCTTGCGCCGCCTCTTTCAACGACGAATGGCAACTGGTGATCTTGAAGTCACCCCTCTTAAGGATGTTCGTAGGTTCCTGTACCCTAATCATCATGTGGCTATTATCACCTGCTATGATGAGCTCGCAGAAACAAATTTAGGCTATGAGGCAAAGCCTTCTTCAGAAACGGATATGTGTCCTTTAGTCGCCTTTGTTAAACCCAACTCTCCTGCATTAAAGAAAACTCTATCCTTCTCTAATGCTGACAAACAAAGCACAAGTGCCCAAAATCGACCATTGTATGTGCTGGCTTCTATCAAGGGGGTGGAATTCAAGCGCGCTTTTCTTGACAATGGTTCTTCCATCAATGTTATGCCGCTCTCTAACTTTCGTAAAGCAGGCATCTCTGAGGATCGTCTGATCAAAGAGCCAATCGAGGTTGCAGGATTTGGCAATGATCTTCATCGCACGATGGGTTATGTTAATGTTGATCTAGCTGTTAACAAATTCCAAGCCTCCATGAAGTTCCATGTTATTGACAGCGACACTTCTTATCACATCCTTCTGGAGCGCGCATGGATGCACTGCTTTAGCATCGTCCCTTCCACTTACCATCAATGTTTCAAAGGCATTTGGAATAACAAGGTTGTCACCGTCCCGTGTTCAGATCGCCCCTTTGCCACCTTTGAGGCTCATTACACCGATGCATTATTCTTCAATGACCTTGATGACTACGCATAAGACTGCGATGCGACCATTATCAGCACTCCTCTACCTACCTGGGCTGACGTCTAGAAGGGCATTTTTCATCCACCCTTTCCCGTTCAGACAGGCGATGCCCCACGCGAATGCAAAAGCGTTCGCCTCCCCAACAGTTATGTCATCTACCATTTATGACGGTGCCCGGGGTTAGCAGAGGTTCACTCTACTGACTCCCCAGAATATTAGCCTCGGATTCTCGAGAAAGCACCACTGCCAGATCTTGTTGAAGTTAATCTTGCCCATCCCAATGAGCCGCCTCGCATCACGTTCCTCTCGGGTACACTCAGCTCTCAAGATAGCTCTCACCTTGTCTCTCTCTTGCAGGAATTTCGTGATGTATTTGCATGGACATACAGCGAGATGCCTGGGCTTCACCCTTTGTTGGTCTCCCACCATCTTAACGTTTTGCCCAACATTCACCTAGTTAAGCAAGGCTCGCGAACTTTCCGGCCAGAGTTTGAGTTGCAAATCAAAGATGAGGTCCAAAAGTTGTTAGCAGCCGGTTTCATCAAGCCCATCATTCATCCCACGTGGTTGGCCAACATTGTTCCCGTGCAGAAGAAAAATGGCCAAATCAGGGTGTGTGTCGATTTTCGGGACCTTAACAAGGCCTGCCCAAAGGATGATTTCCCTTGCCCATTATTGATACCCTGGTCGATGGCACTGCAGGCCATGAAATGTTTTCTTTCATGGATAGCTTTAGTGGTTACAATCAGATCCGGATAGCCGAGGGTGATGTAGAAAAGACAGCCTTTCGAACTCCTCTTGGTAATTTCCACTTCACTGTCATGCCTTTCGGTTTAAAAAATGCAGGTGCCACATACTAGTGAGCCATGACTGCTATCTTCCATGATTTACTTCATCACAATCTCGAAGATTATGTGGATGATTTAGTCGTTAAGTCCAAACAGAAAGCCAATCATCTCCATGACTTACGCCAAGTGTTCGAGCGTTGCCGCCAGTATAACCTCAAAATGAATCCCTCAAATGTGCTTTCGGTGTTAACCATGGCAAATTCTTGGGTTTTATGGTCACTCACCAGGGTATTGAAGTTGATCTAGCCAAGTTCAAAGCGATTCTTGATATGCCATCTCCAACGACTTCCAAGCAGCTGAAAAGCTTCTTGGGCAAAGTTTCTTATCTTCGTCGATTCCTGCCAGCCCTCACTGAGGCAACACATGCCTTTAGCACTCTTGTTAAAGGGAAAGCGAGGTTCTCTTGGACAAACATTCATCAAGCGGCCTTCGAGCGGATCAAGCACATACTATTATCCCCGCAGATCATACACGCTCTGCAAAAAGAACAGCCCCTCTTCCTGTATGTTACTTCCACACCTCAATCCATTGGGGCACTGCTCGCACAAGAAGTCAATAATCAAGAGTGCCCGGTCTATTACATTAGTCATCTGATCCGTGATGCTGAAGAACGGTATTCCCTTATTGAAAAGCACTGCCTCGCTTTGGTCTTCGCCGCGCTAAAGTTCCGACACTACTTCCTCGCCCATTGTATCATTCTCATCACTAAATGTGATCCCTACAGGCACCTCCTCTCCATACTGATGCTTACAGGTAAGGCCGCACGATGGCTTCTCTCCTTAGCAGAATTTAATATTTCTTGCCAGCAGCCTAAGGCTATCAAAAGTCAAGCCCTCGCAGACTTGTTTACTCAATTCCCCAATGGAACTCACGAGCCGGTGGATGAACAGCTACCCCTCGACGACCTGTAGGTTGCCTCCCTTGAGCAAGCTCAGGAATGGCACTTGTCTTTTGATGGTTCTTCCACAGCACGGGGCGGAGGCGTGGGCATCGCGCTCTCTTGCCCGACCTTCACCTCTACCGCTACTGTCAAACTTGACTTCAAGTGCACCAATAACGAAGCTAAATATGAAGCACTCATCTTGGGGCTATTAACAGCACTCGATAAGCAAATCTCCCAGTTATGCATCGATGGCGATTCAAAGTTGATTATCAAACAAACTTTAGGTGAGTTTGCAATTCACGAGCCCTCTTTAGTCTCGCATCGCACAATCATTCAAAAGCTTCTCTCTCGGTTCACCACCGTTCGCTTGGCTCATGTCTCTCGATCTGTCAATCGATACCCCGATGCTCTTGCCACGCTCGCATCCAAACTTGACATCTCTAGCCCCATCCAACAGATCACTGTTCATAAACAAACGCAGCCTGCCATCGCCAGTTTGCTCCCTCTTGAAGACTTCACTGATTGGCATCGCCCAATTATCGATCAAATGCAGACCTTCACCGGTTCCTTACCTCTTGCTCAGCTCAAACGCTTTCATCTGATCCAATGAGTCCTTTATCATCGATCACCCTCTGGCATCCTCAGTCGCTGTCTCGAGGACGCAGAGGCCAGTGAAGTTCTTCACCGTATTCATCAGCAATATTGTGCCACTACTGATATCGCTATTTATCGACGGCTCCAGCGCTAAGGCTATTACTGGCCTCAAATGTCCAGTCAGGCCGCTGCGTTGTAGCGTGCATGTGTCGCTTGCCAGAAATGCCCTGATGAAGCTGAGGTCCTCAAGCTCAAGCTGGCTGATTTGCGGACCCCTTTTATTCGTTAACTTCAACATGGTCATCGCCCAGACGATCCAACCTTGGCCGTCAAGCTTAAACACCAAGCGCCACGCTTTCAGGTTTTCGATGGTCTATTGTTCCGCCTCTCTCGCGAAGGGCACCTCCTGCGATGTGATACCCCCGGATTTCCGGATGCGGGTTGGCCAGGCCCACGCTCGATTACCCGAGGATATCAAATCAATTAGCAATAATCGAACACAGAATATAATTAAGATAAACATGAGTAAATAAAATTCGCTGGAAAGAAACTAAATGAAAATCCTTTATTAAAACTTCAAAATAAATCTTATAAATAAGAACTAGTCTGTTACATCCAACATCTCCAATTATAATACAACTCGGGAATCCATCTGGTGGACCCATAATCAAAAGCCAATACTGGAAAGCGAACAACTAAAAAGAAGTCCACTGCTAAACCATGAAGAACCCCCCTACATCGTCGGTAGAATGAGTAGTCGTCTTTGCTCAGCACGAACAAGCTCTAAGACCTAGAACCATCCGTTACCTGAAAAATAATAGTGGGTCAGGCCCATGAACAAGTTCTATCCTAACTACAATCCAAACAGAGACCCGATACGCAGATACATCCTAGACGTCTCAAACATATCTATATAGTCCGTAATAGATAAATATATATCCACACTACAGGATTCTCACTAACTATGCTGAGGGTCTCAACCTGAATAGAAGGTAACATGCAATACGCACCTGAGTGAGCATGACTACCTAAGCCTAACAGGGTATACCTCAACCAACATGGCTAGCTACGCATCCTACTGCATATACGCACCCTAACCGTCGACTATGAGACTCAAGCTCAAATCGCGGTACCATAATTTATATATATAAATTCCCATCCAAACCAATGTAGTGCCGCTCAACTGATTCATTGCCATGACACGACATAAAATTAGGATTTAAATGTTTTAATTAAATCCCTACTCTAATTATATATATAAGTTCCTTCCAATTACAATGTTGTGCCGGTCAATAGTTCATTGGTCAAGACACAACATATAATCAGGATTTAAACGTTTTAGTAAAAACCCTATCCATCCTAACGCAGAAATACAAACAACCATCTAGTATGTCGTTCAACTGTTTTAGTTGACAGGACATGAAACCATATAGGATTTAATGGTTTTAGTTAATCCATTCCGTATGTATGAATGGGTTGGAATTAGTGTTGTGACCTAATCCATCCCTCCGTATGACACCGTCCCATACCGGTGCATACATGCAAATGATTCGTAAATGATGCAACATTTTATACAGTACATCAAATAAAGTCCACAGTATCCACATAGTTGATAAACACAGAATTTAAACAAGTCATCAACTAAAAATCCAGAATCCATCCATGTAATTAAACGAGACATAGTTTACTAATTCATCAAGTTAAAATCCAGAATCCGTCCATGTAATTAACGAGACAAAGTTTAATGTTTCATCAAGTTAAAATCCAGAATCCGTCCATGTAATTAATACTTTAATTTATCTAACTTAAAGTTCAACTAACCCCTAATACAGTCCAGCAGTTGACAACATTATCAATAGTAAAGTGTCAATTTATAAATTTGAGAAGGATAAAATATAACTCAGGATATCTACAGCTCTAACCAATAATTAAAGAAACAGAAGAACAGTTCAACAATTAAAATAACAAACTCCATTTAATTAATGAAACCTATTTTACTAGCTCCTTAATTAAGATCCAACCTACGCACAAATAAGGTCTAACAATTACATGACCCTATTACACATCCAAAATAGATTTTTAAATCATAAATCAGTCATTTACATTGCTACATCAACTTAAGCAATTAAATTCTCTCCGTTCGTAAACAGTATACGACTTGTTCTTAATCTTCTATACTGTTCAAGATCCTTAGCATAAAGTTCAAATTATGCATTCTAATGATTTTAATACATCATGACTTAATGGTTATAACTCTGATAACGTCCACAACAAATTCTGGAACCCCATTTGTCCAAACAGTACGTAAAAACCCCTAGAAACACACTGAAACAAGAGAGCGTGCTCTCAAAATTGGAGAGCAGGCTCATAAAAACCATCGAGCCGCCTCTAGAAAGGTAGAGCCAGCTCTACCTCTCCTAAAGCCGGCTCTACAATGGGGGGGAGCCAGCTCTTTGCCTTCCAGAGCCGGCTCTCCCTCTCTGAGAGCCTTCTCTCTTTCGTTATTGCTCCGTCTGACTACCAGCTTCGTTACCGACCATTCTTGACCCTCTGTTCACCTTAATACTGAACCTAAGAGTCCTATTTATACCCTAACTCGTCCCCATGACTTGATCACAAAATTTCATATCAATTACAGTGTTTAAATCCTTAACTGATTAAACATGCTTTCACTCCAAACTGGAAAC